ACGCTTTCCCCAAGCAGAACATAGCAGACAAGTTTACAATCCAACGCTTTTATCACAATGTACTTTCAATTTACAAACTGAATCACTTGAACTACAGAAGCAAAGCATATTTACAGAAAATAAAAACAAAATATACCAGGTATCTTTAATTGTTGAAATAGCTAAACAGAGTGCATTACAGTTATTAAAGATATTAGAATGAGCTGAAATTAATCTGGTCAAGAGAATGATTTTTTTGATTTTATTTTAAGGAAACAGACTCACAACCATCAAACAACTACTACGCATAAACCCTGTCCCTGTAACCTTTTCTTCCTTTGCCCTTCTCATTCTATGGTCATAATTTAAAAACAATCTTGAGTGTTGTAAGCTCAGCCTGGAGCCTTTTACTAGCACCTATTACAACACATTAACTACACATCTAAAATGCCACCCCATTGATTTTTTTTTTCCTAGACGTGCTCCTGACGCCATGAAGCATTATCTTTCAGTCTCTTGAGAGAAACTAACACTACATCACAATTCTGTAAGTTGCTAAGACACCACTGAAGTACAAATAAACTTCCTAATTTAAGCCAAATCTATCCTTAATGTTTCTTATTCTCAATCCCTTTGCAGTTTAGCACCAAAGAGTTTTAGTTTAAAAGCATAGACTTGATTCAACAAAACTAAGCCCATGTCCTCAGTCCACCACTGCTTTTATTTTTAAAGTACAATTTAATGAAGGATTGACTAAGGCTAACTTACTATTTTTGTCAGAAAGTAATTAGCTTTTATAAAGCACCATAAATAGATTTCCATTGACATTTTCAAGATTTTTGAAGTTTCAATTAGAACATTGGATTCCAAAGCAACAGGTCTTATGCTTTTAGGACCAAGTTTTTCAACACTCTGTGTGTGTTCCTGCAAAATTACGCACAAACCTAGTAGGTACTCCAAATGTTCAGCTGCCAATGCTCAGAATTCCATGGACAGGTAAATTTATCAGTATTATTTTGTGTTACAGTAACTAGCTAGCATGGTATTTATTTCTGGAGCTTCAATCCAACTTTAGATTTGTGAATATAAATCACAATAATTGTGTAGTAGTAAAACCCACTAAAACCAGCTAATTATGAAAGAATGAAGACAGGATAATCAAGAATGGATTAGGTTGGTGAAGGATGAAAGATTGATCAAGTCAGATTTTTAGCTGCTTTCCTGTGCTTCTTTACCTCTTCAAATTGCCTGTTTACATTTCAAAAACTGGTGTTGTGGGCCTTTTGAGAACTGGCCTCTTTGGAAATAAAATTATTCCTGTGTTCACATGATAAAATACCTATGGAAGTGGACTAGTGTCAGAGAAATGGGATGCTTTTCCTTGCTCTGCCACAGACACTCCTCAGATTGTTGGAACAAAGCATGCAAGCAAATCCACAAGCCACCAAAATTCATCTGCTGATTTACACCATTAAATAATTTTGAATCTGTGAAACTGGTTAATTCTCTCAGAAAAACTGTCAACCTTCTATGAATTCTTGCTCATTGCATTTTGATTAGAAACAGAAGTTCAGGGACACGTGGAATGAAAACAGAAAAAGGGTAGAGGGGTGCAAACAAATGTTAATCGAACTATGAGGAACTTTAACAAAAATAAGTGCACTTTGATATTCTGAATTACGATTTAATTTGCACAAACAGCTGTAACACTAACTGCAGTAAAAAGGAAGGACATTTATTTCTGAAATTTGAGGTTTATTCTGAAAGCATACTTTTCCTCGGAAACATATTCCTTAAGTCACCTATCAGCGACTCAGCATTTTTACTTGCTTAGGTATATTGTTTTGGAGATGGATATTTTCATAAAACAAAAAGAACCACAAACCCCTCCAAAACTCTTTAGTCAAATGTCATACACTTGCTTTTTATTTATTGAGCATTTTAGTGTGATAAGACCTTTGTCATTTCTCATTCATGACCACAATGATTACACGGCAACATGACATGCTTGATGCAGGAGGAAATGTGGCAGGAGCTTCACACCAGGGGAATAACTTAAGGCACTTAGGCCTACTCTGCTCTGATTTTTCTGCCCTGCAAGCAGCACAGCAAGCAGAGGTAATAATATTCTGGAACTCAAAATGTTGGGAACAAAATAATTCAAAATAGCTTTATGTTTCCTCATGGAGAGTCACCTTAGAAACTAAAAAGGCCCACCACTGAAACAACTCCCTCACAAACTTCAGAGTCCAACCACTTGCTTAAAAATCTAACCAGAGAGAAACAGCAAATAAGGGTGGGACAGTGTTGCTCCCTGGGGCAGAACTGGCCTTGCACCCTCTCCCGTGGTAGGGAGGGACAAGTGTTGGCAGTGGCGGACTGAGAGGAGCCGGACAGTGCGGACTAAACCATATTTTAGAACGAAAGTCACTCTAGAGGGAGAAGACCACCTTCCAGAAATCATCTGAAAAGAAATGCAATGAGGATTCTTTCATCAGTGTCTTCCTGCTTGACCAGACTTTGTTCAAGTGTTATTGCTTTATCTGTGAAGGGGTCCATTTGATTTTTACTCAGTCAGAAATCATATCCAGAATTATCGCCCCTACGTTGTTATGAAAATAAAAATGCAGTAAGAATACAAACCAGTTACAGTACAAAATACACTCAAAGCAGCATCCAAATTACTATAGTATTGCCTTAAAAAAGAACTGTATTAAGAGATCATAATAAGTGAACAGTTTTTAAAGGGGGACTGTAGTCCTTAGAATGATTACCATGACCTTCTGATTTTAACTTAAATCCCATTTGAACTTATTGCCTAGGCAGACTTCCATTAGACCTTTAGCACTGCTATTTTCTCTTTTCACCTTGCATAGAGCACAGAAATCAAAGACAAAGACAGAGTCCTTCATCACAAACAGAAAATAAAGCAGTGTTAGCTGAAAATCCAGGAAACTTTCTACCAAGTCCTGGTGAACAACACTAGGAGCACTAATATCATCAAGGTAGATCTGGTTGTGGAACCAAAATTTGTGCATCAAATGAATACAATATCAAAAAATCCCACATTCTTTTGGCTGCTTTGGAGCTACAAAATGCAGTGTGGACTGTCCACAGCTTTTGAGCTGGGGAGAAAAGGAATAACTAGCTTCTACTGCTTTGTGTTTGGCACAACATGCTGAGGGATGGGTGTAGCAAAACCAGAGGAAATTCTAAATGAAACTGACGGAACTTTAATAACAGAAATTTATTATTATTATTTCTTTATCCTGTGAAATACCAGAATTTTAAAAATGGAAAATACCTACATTCAAAGTCATTATATATTATAAAGTATGATAGTTTCACATCATGCCAGTTGAAGTTAAATATATGGCAACTGGGAACAATGACTAAACAGTGACCTGCATTATTCTTGTTATTGTAAGAGCTGAATATTTAAACCAAAACTGCCATTTGTGATGAAACCGCAACTTGGGAAAATATCCACTGGGAAGAAGAAAGAGACCACTTAACTCATTTAATTTATGACTCAAATGCTGGTCTGAACTCAAATTGTTAGAGGACAAAATCCGGTACATCATCTACTTTGAATAAAAGCTAAAACAATTAGCCAGAAACATGATCACGATTCCTCACTTCAATTTTTAAAAAGTAGCAATTTAAGGCTTATTTAAAAGTTTTTGTACTTGTTTCGCGGTTTGTATCTTAAGGCATTTTCAATTACTATTTCACATTAGTATGTCAGTAACTATAAAACTACTGTTTACATTACACAGGAGGTGCACAAATATATAAAACATCTTGTAACGTAACCCATCTAAATAGAGAATGATAAACCCCTCCCAACCAAACCAGGGAGGGGCTTTAGTGCCTCACCACCCAGACAGAGCTTTAAAATGCAATCTATAAAAATAAAAATGCATGAAAATGCAACCTATAAAAGTAATTTATTCTAAGATAATTTCCTTTTAATCCTCTATTTTAAAGTCTTCCATAAAAAGTCATTTACGCCATATATGATTCCTTCCGTAGACACTATACTAAATGCCCAAGGAGATGCTACATTATTTCACTTAGGACTTCAGATTTGTTCATTCATTAAACATTCATAAATGTTCATTCAAACCTTATTCATTCACTGAATAATGAATGGTCTACAAAATTCTTAAATACAAATAACATACACATATATACTATGTCCTTAACCAGATAGCTCCTTGATTTTTATAGTTCTAATTACTTCCTGATGAATCTCAGAAAGAGTTTGCATACCACAGATTTTGGATCGTGACATCTTTGCATACTGCCATATTCATTATTGGATGATATACTTCAGCCTGCCAGCTACTGCTCAGCTGAATCCACATCTTCTCAGAAACCTTGTTGTTTTCCTGTCACATGAGCCACGTAAGTTTCACACTTGATAACTGATGTTAGGAATCAGTAATAAAGTACTTAAAACACAATGGATCAGCTCTCTGGTATTAATAATTAGCCTATCATGGAGGTTACCACAACCCCTCACCCCCCCCTGCAGAATTTGAAGGAAAAAATATTATCATTGAGCAACAGCTGCATGCATATGGCAGCTGTTAGAGTCTGACCAAAAATACAAGATCAAACTAAGAAAATAAAGACTAAGCATTTTTATACTTTACAATTAATAGTGAATTAAATTTGTTATTCAATCATACAGTTACAGCATGTAATTGTTACAGTATGTTAATTCCTCCCTGGAAGTGTTCAAGGCCAGGCTGGATGGGGCTTTGAGCAGCCTGGTCTAGCGGAAGGTGTCCCTGCCATGGAACTAGATGATCTATAAGGTCTCATCCAACACGAACCATTCTATGATTCTGTGATTCTATGATTCTAATGTCAAATCATCATGAGCCTTCAGGAAAACCGAGATTCAACTTTTACACAGTCTTTGCTTCTCACTCTCACTCGCAGAACCCTCAACCTTGAAGTTCCCTGGTCTAACACAGCACTGGCTTTAAGCACAGCTCCTTCTGGCTCTCTTCACAAGTCTACAAGATCTCATGTTAAATGCTTGCTTTAGAAACAAGCCTACCATTGAAGTTTACCAAGACACGGGGCAGTTTCTCTCAAAACCAAAAAAGTTTGGCATTTTTTAGTGAAGTAGAATCCAGATTACATTTTAGGGTGCTTGGTCACAAGAAAATATCCATACTGGTAGCAATATGTTTGTTTGATGAAGACAGAGCCACAGTTTCAGCAAAGTTACTGCCAACATGGACTTCCTAGACGCTACTATGGGTCTAGAAAGATTGCTTTTCTCTGCAGGTCCACAGTATCTGTCACCACCTCATAAACAAGGCTTGCCTTTAACAGAATGTGATCCTTTGGGGCTTAACCATGACCTTAAACTTGTTCTGTAGCTGTATGTATTTCAGTGCTTGTGGAATGTCTCAAAACCTCAGTGCCAATGACATGTGACCGGTGTGATTTGCTCTGTCTCCAAGAAAGAGGTAGTGTGCCTCAACCACCACAGGTCAAAGCTGTATCTCTGACAAACAGCTGCTATTTTTCTGACCCATCAAGATTCTCTGGGAAGGATCACTCCAGGTTGGTCAGGACTACTTCTTCCACACCAGTTCTTTCTGCAGTCATCCTCAAGAAAGTTTTCAGTGCAGCCTTGTTTAAAGTTAGTCAAAAGAAAGATCAGTTTGAATTTCTATCTGAAACTGCTGCTGAGGCAGGGAATCTAACGTTTTCTCTTCTCTGACTGAAATTAGAGGTTTTTCTCACGTACCCCTCAGGCTTCTGGCTTCTGGATGAAGCTCACCCTGACCTACACGAATCTTTAAATTTCCAATCTGCTGTTAGTTCATGTAGGTGTAAACTACACCTCTTAAAACTACTGCAAATTCCTCAGGCCACCAAAAGTATCAGGACTAGTGACTCCGCAGTGTCCATGCATGTGCCTAAGGAGCTGGTAGTTCACAACACCTTCCCTTGGTTTCCCTCTTTCTCTTCTGTTTATCAACCTTCAAATGTTTCAGCAGTGGTGCATGTTTTTTGCCGCCTTCTTTCCCTTCCCGCTATCTCTATTCAGTGAACTGCTAATGCTTCAGTTTAATTCCTGTTCTTTCAGTTGTAGTTTCTGCTTTAGCTTTTTGTGTACAGACACAACCTGGAGGACACAGTGCTTCTAATATCACCGCTGTGGACACAGCAATTGTCTTCCTTGGAGTCTTCTGGCACCTGAAGGCCTTGAGGATATTTCTACCCCATTATAACCTGACACACTGATATTGCTGAGGATGGTCACTAGTGTGGAGCAGGCCTGTAGCCTCCCAGCCGAAAACTCAACTTAAACCTTCTAAGCAGGTGAATTCACATTGTGCTGTAAAATGTTTCCGATGCTAATCACAGTCCAAATTGGTTTTATATTTTCTTTTAATTATTTGTATTTCATTTTAACCCTAGCCTCTTCCTCAATGATTACTACTCATTAGCATATCAGAACTCCCTGAATGAAAATTGCATATAGTGATGAACCTTATTTGAGCAGAAAACAATAAACATGATTACAGTGCCAAATGCCTTGATGAAAAAAATCTACTAAATTTCACTACTTCATTTTCAGTTCCCACCGAGTTCACATTTCTGTGGTGTTAAGCTGACCAGGAAGGCAATTTTGCCAAGGTCCCACATGCAGAGGAATTAACCTTGTCTAAAACACTTAACTTCTCAATGATGAAAATGCATTCTTTCACAATTAACATCAAGAAATCATTTCCAACCTGATACTATTAATGGAAACCAGATGTTTAATTTTCTTCATTGATTTTGTTAGCCATGTTTGCATTTCCTGATTTCTCTGAATTCTGTAGCTTCACGTAACGTATATGTGGATGCCACACACTTCTTCAAGTACGTGTTCACACACAGGCAGCAACAATCAGCAAATACCAGGAATACACCAGGGTTGTTCTGGGTATCCTGCTCTAACTATAAAACGTTAAGCAGGTCTTTGGAAGCAATTCCACTGCTGTTTGTGGAGAGAACTTGTACTCATTTCTTCTTACTCATTAACCAAAACTGAATGAATGCAAACAGAGTAAGTATCTGTCATTGTACATTGTTTCCAGCTGTAAGCAACAATGAAAAATGGATCCCCAGTGTCTGAAAACACCAATTAATTTTTTTTACTCTTACCATAGTAAACAAGCTGTGTGAATAATAATGTAATGCTCTTCAAGTACTAAAGTTCTGTTTAATATGTTTAAAATAGACACGTGGCTTACTTTAGTTGTCGACTTGCACTGAGGACAGAATAAAGGTGATGTATGGGGGGTGCATGGAAGAAGAATGTTTACTACTACATTATACAATGGATTGCGCCACAGCCTTCTTTTGTTAATTAGCTGCCTTATGCAGCTAAGAAGTTTCAGGATATGACCTGTTTGTCTTCACTTTTCAATAATCCTTGTGTTCAGAAAATTGATTAATATAATGCTGCCAGGCTGCCTATAAATCTAAAAGCGAGCTCTTTTTGTGCACATTCCATGCCCTTGTGTGAAGGTGAACTACAGTCTGAAGTTCACTTAAGACCAGCTACTTTTACCACATATGAAAAAAGTACCTTATTTCCTAAGTCTCTTGAAAAAGATCTCTCAAGAGTGTAGCATTAGCTTTCTTTTTTTTCCTCCTCCTTTAAACTTACCTTTGGTCATCAGCCACATTCTGACTGCTGTTCAGGACAATCCTCCAAAGATCGGAGGCTATGAGCTCTTTCTGATCATTCACAAGGTTGATACTGGGAAGCTGTAGTTCACAGACTTTGCTTTCTGACAGACTGAATTCCCGGAATGCAACAAATGATTTCTGAAGCTCATCCCAGTACTCCAAGCTGCAAGGAATCTGTGATAAAAGGGAGAAGGCATAATTACTTTATGCTTGAATGCAAATATAATGGGAATTACTGTACATGCTAAAAGTGCAAAACTAACTAAACTGAATACAAGTAAGCTGTCATATAGAAAATCAGAATTCTAACCGTTTCTTAGATTCTGTGATGTTTTGACTTAGTTTTTAGAACTTCACTGCAGTACAACACTTCAAATTTTCTCTTACTAGGTACAGAAATAGCTACTTGTTCCACAGTACCCAAGAATAACAAAGACAATTCAACTAATCATTATTTGTACTACGCAGCCAAAAAATCAATCAGATGTCATCACATCATGATATCAAGGAAATTCTAGTAATTATTAATTTTTTTTTTGCTTTAACTAGCTCTTTTAATTTTTTTTACACAAAAAATCAATTTATTAATTACCCGCTTATTGTCATCTTAAAATGATCAAAATGCAGAGTAAGTACTTGCAATCACATGATCTTTTCTTTTATGGAATATGCTATTTAGGCAACTGTGTGATTTTGAAAACATAAACCCAATAAATACACATTAGCTTCAGTTTAATCACATCCCTAATTTATCACTGAACTGGAGAGAACGTTATTAGACACACTTCTAAAGAAAATGAAAAACAAATATTAATAAAAGCATAGATCTTAAAGGTGTGTGTCCTAGGTCTCCTTGTTTCTGGGAAAAAAAGGAAGAATGTGGTATAGATGTAAGTAAATCTAGACACAGCTAGAAAAAGCTCTCTCAGTATTCTTCCTTGTTACTCAGTAAGAACTATAATGTACATGGAGGTGACAGCAGGCTGATTAACTGTCAGGAATGAAGGTTAAGAAGGAAATTTCAGGGAGCTCAGTGGTTCAAGCTGGGGAGGGAAAAGGAACATAAATAATCTCCACCACGGAATTCTGGAAGAATTAACATGTGGAACAACAGAGTCTGAAACATGGATTTTTACTATATCTGTCAAGTCAGTGATACCTGAAGATTGAAAAGAGCAACCACAATCACTTATGTTTTTAAGTCAGGATGGAAGAAAAAAAGCAAGAAAAAAGAAAAACAAGAAAAAAGAAAAGAAGAAAAAAGGAAGAAAAAGGAAGAAAGAAAAAAATAAGAAAAAGGGAGAAAAAAGAAAAAGGGAGAAAAGAAAGGAGAAAAGAAAGGCAAAATGGAAAGGAAAAAAAAGGTATCTGATCCCAGTAATAAATGTAACACAGAGCACCAGACGAATACTGATTTCAAAGACTAGAGCCTGAGAAAAAGGGATTGATTTAACACTGAAAAAGCGCATGTCATACACATAAAGATAGCAACATATCTTTTTATAAGCCGCATATTGAATCGAAAATGGTGAGGACATATAAGGGTCAGTTGGAAAATTATGAGGCAGAATGATGATGCCTGGAAAAAGCAAATGTCATCCTGAGAGACATCAGGTGAGATATTTCCAAAAGTGACGGACAAATATCACTTGACTTATGTAAGACACCAGTGGGGCCTCATCTGGAATATGGCACACATACGTGTTAAAAATGTATTAACTCATCCACACTGGAATCTGTGCAGAGCTGAGGACCAAATGAAGCAAAATGAAAGGAACATGGCTGCCCTCCCAAGACACCTCAGGAGACAAACAGTTAATAGAGAAAAAGGTCTATAGAAACTATGGGTCAAAACTGAGTTGTGCTACGAATACAGCGTAAGGCTAGAAACCTGAACAGAAAATGAGAGGGACGTTCGAGGACAGCCTTGGTGCTCATGGCAGCTGCTTTTAAAAGCTTGATTTGTTAATGAGATGGAGTATTGCCCCAATGGGAGGAGGCTGGGCTTGATGGCCCAGAAAACATATTTCTTGGTTCTGTGTTGCTAATTCTGAAATGGTGCTGAGCACAATAAGAGCAAGTTGAAATATTACATTATCGTGTTGGTAGTCGTGTTTTGAAGTCACACTATATTTATTCTTTTTGCTCTTAGTGTCACTATAGAGCTTCAGATTTCTTCAAAACTTCTCAGTGTTCAATTTTTTTAGGTTTTAATGCCCGTGGACAAACACTCAAAACAGCAGTACCACAGTAATGCTACTACCCTTCAATTATGGATATACCCAAGGAATTCCCCTGTGTTAACTATGAACATAGAAACAGCAACTTCCATCATCTGCTTTCATACTGCATTGTAGAGCCATTCACATTGACATACTTCCTTTCCAAACCTCCACAGTCTCCACTGGTAATAAATCCCCTGGTTTTATTTAAAATATTGCAATATTTGTTACATTTCCTACAGCATAAGGTCTTGGAATTCCAACACTATAAAAAGATCTGCACAATTTCTCAAAAAAGTTGCAGCCTTTCATGGTTGCACAGGTACTTCTGAAAATAAGACACACACTCAAAACAGCTGTATTTATTTCTGTATATTTTAAAATATCAATCTTTAGAATTACCTTGAGATTTTTTATGAGTCTGATTCAATATATTTGAATACTTGGTTTGGCTTCGTGCTTCCTACTGCCTATCAACACCTAAGTTTTCTTTCCTCGTCAGTGCTGTTGAGTAACATGTGCAACAGAACTCTTGTCAAGCTACACACCTGTTTTTTAGGATATTAATTTCTTTTTTTAATCTAAAAAACATAACAAAACTCTTTTTTCAATATGCAAGTCTCCTTAATGAGAATCTCACAAATTTGGATCAGAATGGCAAGTAGTGGGTATTTTAAAAGAGGCTAAGCAAGGTGATCAATTCTATTCCCACTAACATTAATGAGCTGGACGAACAAATTAAAGAGCACTATAAAGGAATTTCATAATTACCACTACAGTAAGTAAACTATCAGTAAGGCTAGAGGAAAGTAATACAGAGAGACTGAAAATAAAGATTGAAAACGAAGGCAGAGCAAAACTCGAAAAAAAACCCAAACAGATTTCACACATATTGTTTTAAACAAAAAGGCAGGTACTTGAATATTTCCACCACTCGGCAGGTGATGGAAATACCAAAGCTTATCCTGAGCAGAAGATGGCAAAGTAAAATGAACATAATAATTATTATGCCATCAATAAGTAATAACTCCTCTTCAGGCTCTGGTATTAACCTTACATTGTGTATTTGTCTTTTGGGAACTTCATGGTAATCTCCTAAGTGAATTCTGAAGAATTTTGGAAAGGCAGAGGAATGACCACTGGACTCAGCAGTATGAGTAGTCAGAAACAACGTATCACCTAACAATTAAAGCAGGCTGGTTGAAAAGATTATTCCTCTTTACTTTTGCTCCCAAATTTTTTCCTAACTGTGCTGTTAAAATGTCAAGAAATCCACCAGAGCAAGAAACAGTACGTTTCAAGACATTACCTACGCACCAGAAGTAAAAAGTCAAAGACCTGCTTTACGTGATTGCCTATACAAAATATAGCTCATGCTTTGGGACCATCCAAACTGTAAGCTTTCTAGTTGGAAGCTTGCAAAAGACTTAGTTGACTTAGAATCTTTGATTCCTACACATCTAGTGTTATTTGTTCCAGGAGGCTTATTACTAATGCCTGATCTGGATAAGTTTAAAGAAAGATGGTAGCTCTGGGCAATATTAGCTGCCAAAAATAATAGTTGTGAAAGCCTGGAAATGGACTATAATGCCAGAACTGAGTCATAGGCAGTGGAAATAAGTGAATTAGCTGCAACAAAAATTTCCCCATATGTAGAATTAAATACGCTACTTTCACCTTAAAATATTTGAATAAAACCCAAGCTGTAATTCAGATGATTGTTACCTCTTCAAAAATGTGACCGCTAGAGCTGCCTCTATAAAACCAAACACTAACAAAGCACATCTAACCACAAACTTCTTTGCTAAACAACAAGCATGCTTCTTCAACAGGTACTTCTCCATTGCTTTTTGTATTCTTTCTTACCTTTCAAAAAAAGTTTCAATTGCAATGATTTTTTCAACTGTAAAATACAAACAGAACCTTTACTGTAGAGCCTGTCACTTATGTGTGCGTAAACCCATTATTTAACTGTGGGCTCAGATTTAACCAAGAATCCCCAAGTTCCACTTTGCAAGAAAACCACATACTATGGCACAAACACTTATTTAGAAGGATGATTACAGCAACAGAGAGCAAAACAGCAGTCAAACGCTTTTCTTCAGCAGCGTTAACAACAGAGATGAGAAGCAGTAGTGAAAACAGCCTAAACGAAGTACTTAAAACAAAAACTGTTAATAACATACATACAGCTAAAACAAAGCAGAGAATTTGAAAGTCCCTCCTTTTTCTCTTTACTACTGTGGACTATAGACATGGGAGATCTGAAAATTGCGTGGCACTGTTCTGCTGAAGAATGAAAGCGGTATATTAAGAAATTCTGATTCGAAGGAAAGCAGCTGCGTCCAAGCGACACTTCCCGTCCTGCCCCCGGGAGTACAGGACACAAAGAAACAACTCAGCTGAAACAGTTGCCTGGGAGCAGAAATCTTTTGAATTGGGAGAGTGTGGATTCCTGTTCCCTGTGAATCTCCCGTTTCATTCTATTTTAAGGAAGAAAAATTCATATATACTACACTAACATATACATTATGAAAATCACCTTTGTTTACATACATCAACTCTTTACAAATAGAGACCATCTCAATTTTAGCAGAGCTGAAACCACTGTAGTATAAATTCCCCCAAAAAAGAAAAACTCAAACCAAAAAGAAATTCAACAACTCCCTTAAAAACCTGTATCCTTCAAGCCATTTCCCACATGCTTGTTAACCTATCAGCAAGACAGCAGTAATAACCAACATGAAATATTCCTACTGATACACTATAATGTGATAGATCACGTTTTTTCTTACTCATCATGTATCGTGTCACACATTATCTGTACCAGAATCATTTAACTCCTATTTGGAGACTAGAGGTCAAGAAATGCTACAGAATCTGTTAATGCTATGTTACACATTAATATTTTCACTCATGTGTTCTACACCCTATTGACCACATGGATACTCC